TTTCCTCACTAAAGCTTTTCCAGGAAGGAGTTTATATTAACGTGGGTCTCCATGGTGCCTGCCGTTCTGACAGAAGATGCAGAAACTATTTTAAGATGCACACGATTTCCTTGGAATTTGCTCCATGCATTTCTCTGGAAATCACACAAAGATCAGAAAATGACAACCAACAAAATGCCATTCAGGAGACTAGGAGAGAGAAAAAAAGCAGTTGAGCCACTATGAAAGGACAGACAAGACTTTGTTTCCTAAAGTTTTTCTGTAAAACTCGGGGTTTCTAGCTGTGTGTTTGGGCTCTGGGTGGATCAGTAGAAGCCTTAATCCTAATCCATGCCACTCCCACCACTTCCTGATTAATTACTGTTCAGCAAAAGACAAAAAATTCTTTACAAAATAAATTACTTGCATGTCAAACCTTGTCCTCTTTCACCATTCTTCCAACATTGCTATTATCATGTTATCTCTCAGAATAAACACTTGCCTCAAATCATTTTGTTTTGTTCAGTTAAATTTGCTTCTGTAAATATTTTTGTTTTGATGAGTTGGAGCTCACTCACCGCTGCAGCTCTGAGTTGCTTTCCTATATTACTCATTGAAGGGAATTTCCATTTCCATATTTTCATGACGGACTAAGGAAGTCCTCCCTCTTCCTCTTCCTCTGTGATTAATCCCACAGTCAACATAAAAGACAACCATGAGTGGAAAAACCTGGATTTAAATCTACAAATTAAAAATGTAATCTCTTCTTACAGTCAAAGCAAGATGATAACTAGTTCAGTGCAGAAGCACTCATTCAGTGCTATTTAAATTTTTCTAGCCAGAAAAATTTAAATTTTTCTAGCCAGAAAAATTTAAATAACTTCTCATATCTTTGGTATTGAAAGTTAAGTGAATTGACATAATCAGAGGACAAAGTAATAGTTTTAAAAAATTTGTCTGAATCTGCGATGATGGAGGAAACTGTAGAAACAAAACATTAAGTGTTGTTGTTTTGTTTAGTTTCAGGGGGGAAAGCATCAGCTAAATTCCTGTTGGCACAATAAATGATTTCATAATTTACTTTTTTAAAAGTTAATCAGAGTTTCTAGGAACTACAGACTAGTTCTTGTTTCCCTGGGGTATAAATATGGTGTGACACAGAGGTCAGTTTCTTTAAGCCAGTTGACACTAACTGGACAAGGAGTCATATTTATTTTGGCACCACACATAGTTTGGGGAGAGTAAGGCGCTAAAACAAGTCTCAGAAGCGCGTTGTGGAGGAACTAGAGCATCTTGGAGACGCCAAGTCTCCACAACAACCATTAGCTATTCTGTCATGCAAAATTTACATTTCGCACATTTTTGTACTTCCATTTGGGATTCTACTGCTTCTAAAAACAGACCAAGAGCTTAAAATATACACCCAGATGGTTTTTGGCAACAAGTTAATGTGTTATGGTGTCTGAAAAATGAACCATTTCAAAAACCTTCTGAATGTAACGTCACAAATCAGCAGGGCTCTGCCCATTACCTAGCAACCCAGCAGAGCTCCAGCACATTTGGTCAGCTGGTTTTACTGCTGCATTCGCTGTACAATGGCTACTGGAAAACACGAGTGTTTTGCTATTGAGTTACCATTTAGAAACCACTTGCTGCATTCTTGTTTGTTGTGCAGGAGACTACACTTCTACTTGTCAAAGATTTACAGTTGTATGATTGTCTGTCTGCTTGCAGCCATTTTCGCATGTGCGTGTAAATGTTGAGTTGGGGGGCGTGGTCAGCAGCAGCTGATTTGGATTTAAAGTAACAAGAGGCCCTACAACAGCTCATTCTGATCTGATCAGATTAAAATCTCATTATCCAAGAATGATTATTGTGCAAAGAATGTAACGAACATGTTCAGTATAACCCAAAGATGTTTCCCAACCTGTTCAAAGAAGCATAGTAGGTCACCTGATTCAGCTTAAACCTCTGACTGCACAACTGCTGGTAAATGTTTCACCACAGTCTCCTCTGATGTTAAAAGCAGAGAGCAGAATTAAAGGTGGCAAACGGCTGAAAAATAAAGGGTCGGTGTGAAGGGTCTCCTCCTCTTCCTCAGAGCTGCTGGCAGCTCGTCGATGGATTTCAGCGTGAGGTTTCCATGGAGCCTGAACAAAACCATCTGGACTGAGGAATGTGGTTCGGGAACGCTCTGGCGTACACGCTGCGGAGGAGCGAAAGCGTGGGGGTCCTGATAAGACCTGTGTGTGTGTGTGTGTGTGTGTGTGTGCGCGTGTGTGTGCTGTTGGATTTTAACTTCTTCTCAGAAACTCAGTTGTTTCCCGGGAACAGGGATCATCAAACAGCCTTCCAAATGAGGGAAATTACACGTCCTTTTATCTTAACAGGCCTGTTTTAGATTTGAGCTTTTGTTTTTGGGCTTATTTTGGTTTTAATTTGTATATACCCGGACTTCAGTTCATTTCATTTAAAAATGGAGGTTAAAACATCTCATGGATCTTTTTATAAATGACAAAAGCATGTGCTCTTGTAGATCTCCAGCTCCAGAAAACAATTAAAAGAACTTAAAGACAAAAATAAGCCTGCATCCGACCATGATTACGTTTCCTTCCTCTGGTAGGCTGAGACTACAACAACCTGGAGTACATTTCCTCAAGTCAAGTTCCTCAATGAACCGTCTGTAACGTAAAAACCAGACGTGCAAAACGCTTTTTATGAGTAAAATCTCCTCTTCTCACTGACAGATCTGCTCCTATAAAATCCAAGGCATTTAAATGCAGCTCATGATTCAGCTGTGATGCGTGACTCTAACTGGTTAAAAAAGTGAGGAAAGAGCAGAAATGAGGAGGTAAAAATCAGTGTGTGTTGTTGGAGAGCTTTGGGGATAATGAATAACTTGAAGGGGGGAAGGGCGTGTTTAGAGCAGCAGCTGCTGCTACAGAGCAGCTCAGCCTGTTCCTAACAACTTTCAGTAGAAGAACCTCCACAGGACGAGGTTTCACTCAGCACGTCTTAATGCTCAGTTACCATATTTTTGCTGAAATCTGGTTGTTTTAAGCATGGCTGCATGGCTAATTAAACCCAACAGCAGTCAGACCTCTGTGAGAATCGTTTACATCCCCAAAGCGACTCAAATGCAAAGAAGAAGAACGTTGACGTCACACAGCGGCGTTGTTTACAAAAGTACTGATAGATGGAGCCGTTTATAGATCGATTTTCAGCAATGGGAGCCATCAGCATCGTCACAAGATCATAACAACTAGGAGGAAGCTAAGAAAGAAATCATTACTGACTACAGCGTCTGTTTGGATGTGAAGTCAGACCCAAGAGTGGTTAGATTATGGTGTGATGCGCTCCAATGACACAAACGTCTTTTATAGGTTCATAATTATAATTTTCAGCCGTTGTTTACGTCCAAATTTACCGCATTTTTCTGGTGTAGAATTATGATGCGTCTCTCACGTCAATGACAGGTAAAAGGCAACAAAACACTTTAAAACGGTGGGTTGCAAATCGATTTGCCATGGAAAAGTCAGATGTATAAATGAAGAACAGCGGATTTGTATTGCATTTGTCTGCTGTGTGAATGTAGTTACAGTTACTCTAAAAGTTGCAGTCTGTCATGTGAATGTACGACGATGTTCCCCATTTATTTGAAGATTCTGACTCAAAATTAACCAAATTAAATCAACATAGTTACAATTTTGCTAGTGGTGGGCAGCAGTCTGTTGAGAGTTCAGTCTCATGATTGTTTTTTTGGGGGGTTTTTTCTGCAAAATTTCCTGTCATTTCTTTGTTTTCCTTCCAGGCAGCCAGAGTTTCCTGGGATCTCTTTAAGAGGTCTTCATGGTAGTTAGGCAGTTTTTTTTCTTTTTTTACAAATTTTCCATCCAGTATCTGACCTTTATCAAGTACCTGATCTTATTTGAGCGGCTTCATTTGTGGGAAGATGAAAGTTAAAAATCGAAACAGATATTACTTCAGTGGAGAAGTGCGTGACACGTAGTTGGAGAGAGAAGATTTTATGTTGATAAAAAGAGAAAGTATAAAAATAAAGGAGTAAATAAAATACATATGATGGATTCTGTTTGTCTTGTGCATTGATGTGAGATCAGATTTGTTGTGGCTTGGGTCTATAAATAAACTTATGGTAATTTAATTTTTACATTTTTCATCCACTTTCCTTGGATTTTTAATCAAGAATTAGGTTCTTTTCCACTGTTTTCAAAAGAATATTCCAAGGACATTAAATTATCTTAGGATTTTAGCTGTTTTGTCTTTGAACTTTCTGTCAAAATCTACTGAATGTGATCAATAACATTCATCTGCTGTAGTGTTGATTTAGTTCAACTCTTCGTTTTTGGTTTTTCCTTATTGTGTTGTTTCACTTTGTGTAAAGGATTAGTTGCCAGCTGTAAGCATGTAGAGTCACCGCTAATTAAAACACGTTTTCTCCTGGTTTGGGTTTAAATGTTCAGGTTAAGCTGAGTAAACACCAGGTTTCCAGGTTTTTCTTGCTTTGAAGATATCAGGTGGCAGAAAATCAAATTTCCGCGTTTTTCCACGTGTCACATTTTCCACTCTGCTCATAAGGATCCGAAGCTGCTGCAGCGGTTTGCAGGACCTGCTGATCACATTGGTTGTTGTTTTCAGGAAGGAGGTTTGTTTTCTCACAGATTGACCACTTCCTGGCTATCATGATAAAATGCTGTCGCTCTCAGGCTTTTCTCACCAGGGTTGTACAAATCAGTGTACGCTGGATCCATGGCAAAAGGTCACAAGGTCGCAAATCTCCACTTCACAGTGTTTTAAATGATAAATTATACTTTATGTTTATGAACTGTTGGTCTCAGCTCCATTCATTTCCCAGTTAACCTCCTGATTATCCCCAGAGGGGAGTCACTGACCTGTTGGCGATTACAGGAAGAATTTAAGCTTTCATGTTTGTTTGATAGAGATAGAAGAGATGTGCTGAAAACGGTTCCCAAAACGTTTTTGTTCTTCTTCCTTCCTGACAGAGAGGAAGTTCATGAGAACTGTGTCCGCTGGAGGAAGAGGTTCACCTTTGTGTCGAAGATGAGCGCCAACCCTCACACCGGGGTGCTGGATCCGTCCGTCTGCAGGGTGTCCGTCAGGAAGGTACGACCCACGCCGTCAAGAAGGAGACGATTTCTCACCTGGTGTTTCACTTTGGAGGGAGATTCAGTTTTAATACGGTTTTATGGGCAGCTGGCTGAGCCATGCTGGGTTACACACTGTGCTGTGGATTTTTACATCATATATATCTATATATATATGTGTGTGTGTGTGTATATATATATATATATATATATATATATATATATATATATATATATAAAAATCTGGTGTTTAAATACTACCAGGGTTTTACAGGAATATGTTCAGGTTTCCTGTTTAAGCTTTTCTAGAAGAAATTAACAGTTTGGATAAATAGTTGTTTTCCCAAACATTTTACAAACACATGGAATAAAAAGTCCATCCATCCATCCATCCATCCATCCACCCACCCATCCACTCATATTTTATGTCCTTGTTTACTGATTTATTCATCATCTCACCTCCTTACTTGTATATCCATTTGTTTTTTTTACTGACTTGACTTCTTATTTACTTAATTACCCTTTTCCTTGTTTTGCTCCATTTTTATCCCTTTACTTATTCATTTAGTTCCTGTCTTGCCTACGTCAGAAACAAGCAGGAGTTTTGACTCTAAATTTGTTGTAAATGTTCTGCTGCTCGGTCTGCTGGAGCATTGTGTTGACTTTCAGTCGGTAACAGCAGGTTTGGATTCATTTAGGCAAATGTTTCAGAGACACTTTAGTGCAGATGCTAAATCTTTCAACCTGCTCATTAAACTCCACAGCAGGAGACGAGTGTGTGTGTCTGTGCCTGCGTGTGTGTGTGTGGTCTCCGCCTTTCATTTGATCTATTTGATTGAAGGCCTGTAATTGGAGGCTGACTTAATCAGAACTGAATCACTGGGTTCATTACCGTCTTCCTGTTTTCCCTGCAGGAACTGAAAGGAGGAAAAGCGTATTCGAAGGTAAGAGTTCCTGTCTGCCTCCTATAAATGCATAGAAACAGTTACAGATGGCCCCGTGTCCCTCCTGTAAACCTTAACGTCACGTCATGTAAATATTAGCATTTCTCGCTGCGCTTTCACGAGTAAAACCTCCTGCTGGGTGCAAACATGAATCAAAAACCTGTCCGCCTTGCACTCACTCTTGCCTGGAAGCTGGGAAAACATCCTGGCAGCTCCTCTCTGAGCGTGACGCCTCCGAACAGATGAGTCACGTCTCATGAATGCAACAAGGTCGATCCCCGAATGGACCTAAACTCACGCCGATTCCTGGACGATGTTGCACGACAGGAACCGCTTCCTCTGTTTCTGCCCGCTCTCCTTTTGGATTTCCTTTAGTTAAATTTACTCCACTTCCCTCCTTAGAGGTTGCACCTATGAAAACAGAAGCTCCGCTAAAGAAGGGGAAACCTGGGGAAAGAAGAATGGGAACGTTCAACTTTAGCCCAGTTGACTGGAAAAAACGGAACGTCCAGCGTGGATAACGGGCCGATTCCACCTGGAGGTTGAAGTTAAGGTCGAGCAGATGAGGGTCTTATCTGAGGTATTTGTGTCAACGCTGGAATTTAGAAACTCCTGACCTACACTTCAGAGGTCAGAGGTTTTAAACCGAGCAGCAGGCGCCACATTCTTGGCTCGTGAGAACTTTGACAGGACAGGATTTATCCGGCAGAAAGCAGTTTGAGGTGGAGGAGCAGACTGGGTCGGGGTCTCCTGCTTCATCACCGGGATGAAAACTGGGCTGTGAAATTACAAGTTTTATAAGACTTATCTTGAGTTTTTTTTAGTAATCCAAGATATGTCAGGTCTGCTGATGATTTTTTTAAAAGTAAAACTGGGCTGATAATTAAATACATTTTAGGAGCCAGTTTTATCTCTTAATATATAAATTTACATCCAATTGTATAAAAACATTACTTGTGTTTTTTTTGGTCAATCAGATGTGGAATTAGTTTGGATTTTGAACCTACATTAGTATAAATGTGGTATGATGCTAATTAGATTCACTAGGCACTTAAGGAATAAAAGGCTTTTCATATCCAATACGTATGACTTATTGTTGTTAACTTTCAAACAAGACTTTGAAATTGAGTCAAAATATACAACCATTGCTTTTTCATCATTAGTGTTTTAAACTTCATATAGAAGCGACATATCGAGTCGTGACTCGCCGCAACAGCTGCTTTTCTTCTTCTACTGTAGATTAAATGCAACATGACAAGCGCTGTCCCCACTGCTTCAGGCTCTCACCAGATTGTTATACAAACCAGACACTGTAAATGCTTTGAAGGGAAATTAGTTTCTTCACTTAGTCTGAGCAGGAAAGTAACGTGTTCCTGTTTAATTCCAGATTTTAGATAAAGACGTCTTCAACGTTAAAAATAAACTCACGTGGTTCTTTTCGCTCCCTGTCATGAACTAAAACTAGAAGCGTTGCCATTAACGAAGTGAAATTGCTCTGGCTGCTAAACACTGGGTGTCACAGGATTCTCCCGTTTTCTCAGCGTGTGCCTGAAATAGATGGCAGCGAAAGCCTCCATTAGTGAATCTAGAATTAACTAAACTCCTCTTTCTTCCCCCCTCAGCTGGGCTTCACAGACCTCAACATGGCCGAGTTCGCCGGTTCCGGCTCCACGGTGCGCTGCTGTCTGCTGGAGGGATACGACACCAAGAACACGCGGCAGGACAACTCCATCCTGAAGGCAAGATGGCGGACGGACGGCATGAAAACCGAGCCTGTATAAAACGTTGCGGCCTCGTTTATATAGCTGAACAGGAACCAGTTTAATCTCTGTCATGTTAAGCTGATGAAAGAGCTCAGTCTGGACTGGTTTTCTGGACCAGATATGTGAAGGCTTTTTTATTTAGAGGGCCTGAACGTGCCTGATCATAAAGATAAAATGCCTTGGAAAGTTTGTCAGATAATTCTTTGGGATTTTAAACCACGTGTCGGTTAAAGCTGCAGTACGTAACTTTTATTAATTTTTCTATACATTTGTTAAATTTATTACGTCATGGCAGATAATTGATGAAAGAAACCGAGCTTCTTTATCTTTTCCCAGTGTTCCCAGTACTAACTACAGAAATATACCACACAGTCAGAAACAACCAATCAGAGACAGGAGGAGGGTCTTAGCGCTGTCAATCACTCTCATGCTCACCTCCTCCTACCACAACTGGTCCACAGATGCTAATGCTAGTTAGCATAGCCACCGATGATGGCAGATAAATGGATTTCCTGTACCAGAAAGTTGTTTTTCCACCATTAAAATGTTTTTCAGCACCAATCTAAAACTAGTCAGATGGTCTCCATCCATTCAGGGAGGAGTCTGGGGCTCTGCAGCGCCACCTAGAGATCACCAGTACACTCTGCTCCGAAGCCAGTCCAGTCACATGAGCTTAATGCATGTTCAGGTTTATTCTGCAGAGTTTCACGTTCTTTGACTAGACCGTTTTGTCTTCTGCTAAGAAATGCATCTCTGCTCTACAAAAAACACAAAACTGCATGAACTGATGAATAGAAAAATACATTTTGACAAAACTGATTTAAAATCTATGATGTCAGGAAAGTGAAATGGAAGAAGTTTCTTCATCTGAGACGTTGTTTTTTGTTTTTACATTTTACAGGTGATCATCGGAATGACTCTTCTTTCTGGAGACCCGTGCTTCAAAACGTAAGTAGGAGCATAAATTCAGTTTTTCTCTGAAGAGGCTGGAACCAAATCCTTCCTGCTGCCTTTTTAGATTAAAATTTTAAAATCATTTAGGAGATATTTTTACTGTTACCCCTCCAGGTGTATCTAACACATTTACAGAACTCGTTGGTTCCTTCATTAATCTGGTCACAGATTACATCTGCAGGCGGCCTGTGGAAAATAACCTACAAATTTACCTGAAATTAAACTTAAGCTGCTCTTGTTTCTGTCTCAGAAATGCATTTTGTTGATTAAAACACCAAGTCAGCAGTCATCCTGTTAAAGAAGCCAACCAGTCCAGATGTTGATGTTTTGAATTATTTAAGAACAGAAATGGGTTCTGGTTCTGGTTCTTACTTGGGTTCAGGTTCTGTTCTTGTTCTGTTCTGGTTCTGTTCTGGTTCTAACTGGGTCTGTTCTGGTTCTTACTGGTTCTGTTCTGGTTCTTACTGGGTCTGTTCTGGTTCTTACTGGGTTCTGTTCTGGTTCTGTTCTGGTTCTTACTGGGTTCTGGTTCTTACTGGGTCTGTTCTGGTTCTTACTGGGTCTGTTCTGGTTCTTACTGGGTTCTGTTCTGGTTCTTACTGGGTTCTGGTTCTTACTGGTTCTTTTCTGGTTCTGTTCTGGTTCTGTTCTGGTTCTTACTGGGTTCTGGTTCTTACTGGGTCTGTTCTGGTTCTGTTCTGGTTCTGTTCTGGTTCTTACTGGG